TCTGTCTCTGTGGCTGGTTTGTGTCTTAATATTGGTCTCAATCTATGTTAAAGTGTCACTCTGTAGATTAATTTTCATTATTTGGTTGTTTCACCATCTTTTCCATTTGTCCAGTATTTTAGGGGCTCTTCTCTTTCTTGACTTGTAGTGGTGATCCCTCCAGACCCTCACTAAATCTTACAGATGCAAATTAGCTTTTGGCTTGCGTTACCATAGTAACACACATTAGGTAAAAGCTTGACTCTATAGCGAGGCTATAAACACTGTGAAAGAAACCCATGTAATTTGCAGACAAGCAAATAGTCAAGGATATTTTCTTTTGTTGGTGCTGACAGGTGTGTGAATGCATTTTTGGATAAGGAACTTAATGAAAACTTACTGAGAGTGACAGTTTATTCAGAAAACATGAGGTCATCACAGAAACCAGTAATAACTGTGCTATAAGCAGTAAAGTGAAAGTGGAACACGCTTTGAGCCAACATCTCATTAATTCGGTTAAAATTAAGTGTCTCGGCGGCTTAGTGACTCCAACAGACACCTGCGATTGTGTGAGAATGTTATTATGATCTATTCGGAAGAATGACACATTCAACAAACACAATATAATGAGAAGGTTTCACTAATGGTCTCTGAGATATAGATCAAAAGGTCATCAGCAGCGCCTCATATCTCTGAATACATTTCTAAAACGGCTGTGCTTCAAAACACCTCATTATTAGTTTGCAGACACCTATAAATTAGATTTCCTAAAACAGCACAACATGAGAATTAGAATACTTTAAAATCTTTAAATGTGTATGTAAGGCATATTATCCTCCACTTAACTGTGTCATCAGATGTAATTAGTGCATCACCACTAAGCTGTTAGTGATCCTGAATATACTGGGCGGGTTGACGATGGTTTGTCAGAAAAGGACTGCTGATTTATAACTTTATGCATTTATATACTTGCTACTTTCCTCATGTTATAATTAATATGTTCACTAGATGTCACCAAACTATAACATGCAACATTTTAGAGGAGGACAGTCTTGACAGGCTCTTGCTGGGGGGATGATCTGCCTCAACCGGTTGGGGTGAGTGCACAGAGGAGAGAGAAGACAAGAACATCTCGTTAGTCAGCTAATGTTACCTTTGGACTGGAGGCTACATTTTGTACAGTTTGTCACGAGAAAGTATCCCTAGTTTACCTCGTCACTTGGAAACAGGACGTGATGGGAGAGGCAAAGAGTGGTTAGGAGTGGCTTATGGCGTTAGTTTCTTTTTAGTAGACCCTCTAGCAGCTGAAAATAAATTGGGTAACACAGCTACCTAAGGAGGGGGCAGGAATGGAAACATGAAGAGATGGTGGCTTTTGAAGTCCCTCATTAATGGTGTGTATGCATGAGGCCTGAGGCAGCACACAGGTCCCACTATCGACTCCCACGGGGGACGCTAATGACAAATATCTGCTTCTTATTCTCACCCTGCTTATTCATACTCGCTCTTTCTCCTGAGAAAAACTCCTCAGTTTTCTACCCCACTGTCATGCACACAGCTGCTGTTGCACGATAAAAGAGGACGAGGCAGCTTGCACATATTTTTCCTGTTCAATTTCTAGAGATGCAGCAATGCATCCACCTCAGCTTCCTTGTTGATAATAAATGGATGGTTCTCTGTGTGGTTGTATTTGTTGTAGATTAATTATTCAGTGGGGTGTTCATGTTGTGTATCAAATGTGATTTAGAACGCTTCAACAAGTCTGTATCCAGAGACCTCTGTGGAGACAGTAATGGTGCAAAGACTCCCCCCTCTTTATACTGGCTGCTTGAAATTTTCATTACCTAGGTACTAAAGCGCGTTCAACCCTCTACTTATAGTGCCTATAAAAGTAATTACCCTCCATGGAAGTTGTCATTTCTGTGAAACAAATGTAGCATTTTGACACACAGTATGATGCACCGACACAGCTGCAGCAAATTGGTTAATGGAGATCACCTTTGTGTTGTCATGGGTTTCAGTTAGTTGTAGTATAAATACAACTGAAACGTCAGACTGTTAGTGAGTCAGTATAAATGGCAAAGCCCACACAAGTGAAACAAAGGAACACCGTGGGTGCAGCAGTGTAGCTGTTGGTTAAGGGCTGCTATTTCAGTAAAAACCAAAAACGTCAAACTCGTGGTGGTGCTAGAGTAAACCTCAGGGCAACACCAAAGTCATAAGAATTCATCCTGATTTTTTTTACCAGTACATCTACTAGATGTTTAGATCTTTCAAAACAGATGTGTAAAGTTTCACCAAAGTCATTAGGGTTAACCCTCTAAGCAAAACCTGCACTAAAATCCAAATCAATCCATCAATTAGTCTTCAAAACATTTTTATTAAAAATCTAAAATGTCGACCTCCTGGTGTCATACCAAAGGAGACATCAGAGGACTCACCAGTGACAGAGATGGACATTCCCGTCCCTAGAGCTGTGCCAATATCATGACTGTGATGATTACAGTAGGTCACCAACAGATCTGAGGCAACTCTGAGGGAGTTTCCAGCTTCACACAACAACAATTGTGCAGATGTTTCACCAGTCACAACCTCTGGGAGAGTGGTCTGATGAGAGCAACATTGAGCCTTGTGGCTATCAGAATAAACGCCATGTTTAGGCCACAAACGTACAGCCAAAGCTCCACAGGAATAGCTTTGGAACAACAATGATAATGTCCTGAAGTGGCTGAGTCAGAGTCCGGTGTATTGAGATTTTTGTGACTGGATTTGGCATACCACCTGAAAGAGCTTGATTGTTTTTATAGAGAAGAAGGAGGAGGGAAAACCAACATTGGATATCTTATACTTGTAATCACCTTTGATCACTATCACTTTGTAGATTTTATTTCACTTGGATATAAGAAGGGTCTTTTTTTGTTGATCAGTGTCATAAAAGCCACAATAAATCTAATTTAATTCACCTTTCAAACAGTAAACCACAAGAACATATTGTGGGGTGAATCTGTATACTAAGCTTCTCTTAATAAATACCCACAATGCAGGGATCAAGTGGAGCCTAATGCCTCATAAAGTCCTCTTTATAAGGTGAAACTCTCAGTAACAGGAAATAGGTTCAGACTTAGTCACATTACATTAGGGTAACATCTTTTGAAGTAAAAACCCATAAATGTTTAGTGAGCTGATTTCCTGCCTGCTGTTGTGTCTGATGCTCAGACTCCTTTCATTTAGCAAAGATTTATTTACAGTAGCGCTGAAGGAAAAAATGTCTGAATGAAAGAGGAAATTGAGATTAAAATCCATTTACACACACACACACACGGCCAACCACACACACACACACGGCCAACCAGACCCTTGCAGATGCCTTTGGGCCATTAGGGCTATTACACTTTTAATACATGTACATCATAAACATTTTTGTGTGCCTTCCCTCTGGCCATTCTTGTTGCTCATGTTGGTGTTGTGAGTTGTGCGACTGAGAACCTGCAGCGCTGCTGATAGCATGTGTTTCTGTGTGAAAGAGACTTAGGGATGAGTGACGCAGCAGAGAGAAAACACAAAAGACTGTCACCTTAGAGGAACGGAGAACCTGAAGCTGCCTCCTTCTCTGTTGTGTGTGCGGTTTTTCTTTTTTAAGATGAGCTTCAGTGAAATATTGCTGTTGTCTTCTGTGTCAGTCAGCATGTGATTGGAATAATTGGAACATGGCTGGTTGCTACTCTGTTTGAGCAGTAGAGAATTAGAGACAGGTTTAGATGAGGAGCTAAACTATGGTGGTAGTGATTTAGTTTCTGTCTGTCCTAGTCTACGTTATTCTAATGATCTAGTGTAGGCTATCTCTAATTATAACATGACGATGATGATAGAGTCACCTTTTGCCTCATTTCATCTTTTTTATAAAAAGCAACCACTGAGAAGTACAAGGGCGCCCTCCACTGGTGAAACATCATAGTACAACAACAAAGAAGGAAAATAAAACGTTTTAATTCAAAAGCATTTATTGTTCTGAGACTCTACTAAAACCCCCATCTTACCTTAATTTAAACCTTACAGAGTGACAAATACAAATCATGTCTACAGTGCGTTGCTTTCACCAAATAAACCCACATCATTACCTGTGCTTAAACAGTCTGTCCATCATGAAGCTACAACAAATACATTCAAGTGGGCTCCAGGTACATATCAATACTCGATACCACATGGGCAAGAGCAAGTCAAGTTCAGTTCAAACAGCCAAACAAGCCAGTGCTTCACTCCTGCAGGGTGAGTCACCAGCCCAGCCCACTGAGGCGGTTCTCAGTGTAGCGTCAGGAGGGGGCTCCAGCAGGGAGGGGGTCACCACAGAAATGAGGCAAGGTCACAGCTGTACAATAACAGAATTATTTATTATAGTTATGATGTTTTAATGGGTTTATTTTTATTCCTTTGAACAATGTCATTATGTTTTAGATACTAATATACATTTATTTGTGTATTTATTAACATAAATATTAGACTATATATATATATATGTAGTATCAATTGCCTTTGCAGAGATAATTAACATTATACTGAGTTTAATTGAATTATTACATTCACTATTTATTGATTTACTTATACATTATCCCAACATATAAAATAACCATTGTAGTCATACTGTATGTCTCACTCTGACCACTGTTATTTTGCCATTTAACTTTAATATAGTTATCAATATTTAAAAATCTAAATACATATGGCCCACATATGGTGCGTGTGCACGCTGCCACGTGGTAAGGTGTGGCACTGAATCAAAATGTGTTCTTGCTGACATGCATATGGAGACTAGAGACCATAGAAAAATGTTTGAATTCGGTTTAAAATGCATCAAACAAATCCATTCTGGACCAGTGGCCTGGACTGTAACCAGCTGGGATCTGTAGGGTTGGTTTGCCTTTGTTAAGCCCTTGTATGGCTATTACATCACTGATAATGTTGGTTTTGGAAGTTTCATTGCAAATAGGTGATTCAGCGTTGCTGATGGTTGGACTGTTTGGGCCTCTGTGATATGAAGCCTGACATCCTCCTTGTCTTCTGTCCGGGTGACGTGTCTCCTCTTTTTGGCCATGGAGCGTTAACACTCAGCTTCTCTTGACGGGGTTCAGCCTGAATCATCTCCGCTGTGCTCGGATCCTCCCTTCATGTTCTCTTCCGGACCCTCCGCCGTGCCACTGTCAGATTCCTCCTCTATGGTAAAGCGCGTGTCCGCGGAGGAACACAGGGAGCTGATGCTGCTCTGCGCCGTGCACAGCGCGCACGCCAGCGGGGAGGGTAGTACGCCCTCGTAGTGGAGGTTTCCAAAGTGACCGCCTTGGTTACCGCAGAAAGGCAGGGATACCTGTACCGAGCCCAGTTCCGAGACAGTGGCGGGAAAGGTGTAGCTGTGCTTCTTGGGCAATGCGCCCCACTCTCGCTGCTGCTCCTCGTGCATCAGGCGCGTGAAGATATTGATTCTCCTCTTCTCCCTCCTCTTGGAGCGGAAGTAACCGAGCATTATACCACTGAGGAAAACTCCGTAGAAAGACATGACTATTAATATGAATAAATACGCGTTCCCGTCGGTTTTGCCCGACTGGGATCCGGCGCTGTTCTGTGTGTGCAGGAGGAAGAGGCGTTTGGGTGATGCTGTGGAGTTCTCCAGGGGCTCCATTTTTTCAGTTCAGCCAAGCGGAGGAATTTAGAAGTGCGCTAAAAAGATAGAGAAGGACATCCATAAATAAAGGGTTTTTTTCACCTTTACGCACGCTTTACGCACAGGGAAAGGATCAGTGAGAGACATTTGGCTTTCTAACTTAATACAAAGTTACGAAAAACTATGAAAACGTGTTTACAGTCATTATACACCCGCATGTATTAAGTTGAACCCTTTTCAAAACGTTAAAATAATTAACTGTAAGGCACGATCATTGCAATGGAAAACAACGGTAAACAAGCACCGATGCTGCCAGAATAGTCTCCACATGACATGATATTTTAATGTACAGTTTGATATCAGACATGCCTAAGTAATAGAGAATGTAAGTTAAAAAAAAACTACATAATAAAATGTTTATTTATTTAAAGAATACATTTATTGTGTCGTTTTGTACTTATGTTCTCTATTTTTAGGCATGTTTGAACTTTTGTGTTAAACACTTCCAAGTAAAAAAAAGTTATAAAATGTCTACACAAAATGAATTAGTTTATTTAAACCAAAACTATTAATCTACAGTAGGCCTACTACTAAACACTAGGATACAGACTATGTCATGAACTCACCAAATTGAAGAGCAAGTCTCTAGTGAACCTTTACAGCTTATATCTTCTTGCAGCTCTTATGGAGTTTGGCAGCAATGCTAGATGGAAGCAATTATTTATACAGAGACCCTGGAGTGTCACCAGGAGTCATGTGACTGAATGAGTCCTGGGCCTGTGGAAGCCCAGAAGGGACATAATGTTATAAAACGCAGCCAAAACTCTGGAGAACTCTGAAGAAGCATTACCTCATCTCATCATTTCAAGTTTAGAACCTGGATGATAGTGAATTTCAAGCGTCTGTATAATCCAGGGGGACAAACAATAACAGTCAGTAATACACATAAGACAACAACCATTTTCCAGACTTAACCTACCCTTAACACAAAGCATCTCTGAACCCTATCCTCACCCAAGCAAAGAGCAGATACTGTATGTGGCTTGACACACAGTATCTGCATTGTATTTGCTGAGGTTAAGCAGTGGTAGGCCTGACTGGCTTGTAGTGGCAGTCACCTCTGAGAGCTGGGTTCATCTCATCCATGGTCCCTGCTGAGCCTGGGAGACTGCCTTTGCACATCTTCCTGCCTCCTAATCTCCTCAGTAACCATCTTCCTTCTGTCAGCTGCTGCTGCTTTGCTCCAAGAAGGCTGTGATGTGCTTAAACCGAAACCACCACGCCCATGCTGTACCTGCCCTACAATATCCCTATAATAGATTATACCGACTCTCACCTATGGTCATGAACTTTGGGTCATGACCAAAAAGGCAAGATCCCGGATACAGGTGGCCGAAATGAGTTTTCTCCGCAGGGCGGCCGGGTGCACCCTCAGAGATAGGTTGAGGAGCTCGGTCACCCGAGAGGAGCTCAGAGTAGAACCGCTGCTCCTCCACATCGAGAGGAGCCAGCTGAGGTGGCTCGGGCATCTGTTTCGGATGCCTCCTGGGCGCCTTCCTAGGGAGGTGTTCCGGAAGTCTGGGCATCTTTGCTTAGACTGCTGCCCCCGGGACCCGGTCCCGGATAAGTGGAAGAAAATGGATGGATGGATGGATAGATTATACCATACCTACTCTCTTAATCTCATCACACAAGATTTCAGTTTCTTGCAAATAAGCCTATAGTCTATGAATAAAATTGGGTGAAACTTAATGAATGGCATTGTGGAAATGAAAGACGGCCCACAATTCAAAACTAATGAGTACTTTCAGAAAACTCACCACTGCAAATACCACCAGTGTATGAATAATGCAGAGAGAGGGAGAGAGTCAGACACGATTCCAGTGGGAAACTGGATTTGTACTGCCAAATATTCTGGCTGTTTATCACCGTTCTGAAGGGAAATTTAGTTTTTATTCTCAGAAGTAGTTCAACCTTTTATTTAAGTAAAAGCATCAATGCAAAAATACTGTGTAAGCAGCACTGAACTGTTGGAGGTGGAACTAGTTTTTAATTCTTTAAACAGAGCTCAGTGGTTTCAAGGTTCCCAATAGGGGCACAAAAATCTAGGAGTGGGATAATTACTTGTGTTGGAAGTAAATACAAAGTTTTACTGCACAAATCTGTATTTTTGAAATGTTTAAATCTTTGCTTTTTGTGAAATTTTGGAACATCATTACTGCTTTAGTCTTTAATAAAGCATTGCATTTTGTAAACATAGAATTTTTAAAAAAGAACTTTGTAGCTTCATGTGATAAATAAATGTAGAAGAGTAAAATGTAGCAGAGAGAAAGTATAATGTACATGTAATGGTGGCTGGTGGGTGACTGTGGTTCAGCGGGTAGAGCAGTCGTCTCCCAACCGGAGGGTTGGAGGCTCAAATCACGGTGCCTGCAGTCCACACGTTGAAGTGTCCTCGGGCAAGATACTGAACCCCAAGCTGCCCCCCTGATGGTTAGAGCCATCGGTGTGAGTCGGCGCCGCAGTTGGCATCCTTGGTTCTGTGCTGGAAATAAATTCCTTGTGTGTGTAAAATGCTTGCCCAAACAAAGTAATTATCCTTAAGCTGGTCATGATTTTTACTGTGTATTTTTGTCGCGCCAGGGGTGGCACTTTCTTTCAGAAATGTGATCTCCACATGACTGATTTAATTCAATAGTCTGAATTATCTCCACCCTTTTCACAAGCCACAGCCTAAAATGTTTGACAGCGCTGGGAATTTACACTTGAAAACTGTAATGAACTGTGAGCATTAATGGTTAAATTGGATTAGGCTCCAAGCAGTCGTTATTATTGAAGCAGTGAAGGTTGATTTCACTTTGACATAAACAAGTGTCATCATCTGTCTGCCATCTGGTCACACAGGCATCAGTTTCACACCAAGTGAGGCTGGTATGTTGAGTACAAAATAATTATAACACTTAATACTTGGTTAAATTGATTTGGTGACTGTGGCAGAAATACTATAAAGCAATAAAATACTCCTGCACGCAGACCTCACACAATCTTTATTTACTGAATTTGATTATTTAAAAAAAAAAAGGGAAATTACAAATAAATAGTTGGATGCACTTTTGTTAAAAGGCAGGCTGTTCATACAGAAAGAGAGAATGGAGCTCCAGAATTAGCCTAAAGGTATAAAGGCTCAAGTTAAAGCAGAGGCTAAACATGTGCTTCCTCTGCTGGTCACAACTACGCAAACATATGTACAGTTACTGAGAAACGGTAAGATTAAAAATCTGGCCGAAAGGTGCAAATCAGAATCACAAGAAGAGATACCAGGTGTCACACTAAGGGATGCTGGGGCCACATTTGTGCCATGAATGGACACACTGTCATACTGGTGCAGATGTTAAGGGTATGAGAAGGCTTTAAGCTGATTATGCAAAATAAATGTCAACTATACACACTGAAGTTACACTTGTAAAAGTGTCCTAATCTTTCAAGTAGTGCACCCATGCACAATGAGAAATCTTTATTTAAATCCTATGTGTAATCAGCTGCCTTACTTGGGCAGAAAAGATACATTTTCATATTTCACTACTATTTATCAAACATGACAATGATTACACAGTAATTTCATCTGTAATACAGGCAAGTAAATGTGCATTTTTGTGCACACTGGTATGTACAGCACATAGAAAAGTATCCTCTGTCACTGTAGGAAAATTCAGTAGACTAAACAACAGAGCATCTTTGTTTCTCTTCTTTATAAATAAGACTATTAGGTGCCATCTTTGTTGCATTACTAAAAAAGGAGCAGTAGCCTCATTGTTAATAATGTAAAAAATGAAAATCATTACTCCAGATACGACCTTTACCAACCTGCTTTCATTTGCCCTCATATGACTTTGTGTTTTTTTTTTGTATGAAGAAGTGCCGAACGATGGAGACGTCCTACGGGCAAGGGAGTCAAAGCCCGACTGTGGGTGGCGGACAAAATAAACCACTAACAGAGCTCAAAACATGTAAGAAAATAAGAGAGCTATAAAACCGTTAACCATCTCCTGACCTGCAGGAAGAAGGAATGTGAAACCTTTAAGTTATGAGAAGATTAGAAGATAATCAGAATGAAGTAAAGGAAAGATATGGCAAGGCCGTACAGTACATAATCACATAACAGTATTTCATGGGTGAGCACAAAGCAAAAAGGCAACAACCTTTCCAGCCTCAGCAAGAGTTCAGCATACTCTGTTTCATAACCCACATCTGGAACAATAAAGATCTCCACACAGAGGTCACACACCCAGATGAAAACAGGGAAAATGCAGCAGCGGACAGGTGTGTTTTGTATTTTCCTCAATGGTTTTAAACATTTAATCTGCTTGTGTTTGGTTACAATTTCAAGTAAATCCACTTCCTTGGAGGATTTGGTTAATAATTGCACCATAAAAGTAAATTACATCATCCTATCCTTTTCCACCTTTCTATGTGATCTCAGGAGTGTTAAGATTTACCACACATCCAGATTTACTGCGGCTCTCTCACTGATACTACAGAAGATAGAGGGAAGGGGTGAGAGGGCACTGGGAGTGTTTCTGAGTTAAGTGTTGGTCTGTGCTTTGAGAATGAACAATGACGTACTGCTCCTTGTTGTTACTTTCCTCCGTACATCCTCTCAATGTCATCCTGGTAATGTGTTTTCAGCTCCTTGCGCTTGAGTTTGAATGCATCAGTCACTAATCCCGTCTCAGGAGTCCATGGATCTGGGCTCAGACAGATCTTGCGAGGAATCTCAAAGCGCTCCAGCTGGGCTGCAACAGGGGAAAATGGAACCTTAAGACAAATGGGAAGTGATATGAAATGTCGGAGGATTGTTAAGAACTTCAAGCTGTAGCTCAACCACTCAGCAATTCTTTCCTTGCCTGCTAGTGCAGCCTCAGTGATGACTTTGAGGACCAGCTCCTCCACGGCCTTGCTGCTGCACAGCATTTCCCATGAGCCTTGGATACTGTACTGGTCAGCCAGAGCCAGCAGCTGCTTCTGATTGGGTACCACAAAGCCAATCACATACGTCTCATCACTGCAGAGTGGGAAGAGCAGAGGAGACGGTAGTAAAGTAACACTGGTTTAGCAAGTGAAAGTTCAGCTGAATAAGGTGATGGAGCAATCAGTTCTTCACTAAGTGAGATATTTAGTCTTCTGAGGAAAGAGAAACAACAGTATCTGTTTCACTCAGTCTGAAGAAATATGTTCAGATTCTTTCATTTTTACCCCATTCAATGATTTTTGGGAAGTTTTTCCTTATCTGGTTTGAGAGTCTATAGAGGGGGTCAAATGCTGTATAGATCGTAAAGCTCCTTGAAGTCAATCTGTGATTTGTGATATTGGCCTATATAAATAACATCTGACTTGCTTGATATGAAAAAGCAATCATCGGTGAGGTTAAGGTGATCAAGTATGTACCTGGAAAAGTTTACAAACAGCAATTACTTTGTCAAAAAAAATCCAGTTGTATACCCACAGTGTAAAATGTGAAACTCTGCCCTGTGGAGGTTTGTTGTAAATAAACAGTTTATGTTTACATTCACAAAATAAGACCCACTTACAAAGGCACGGCTCCATAAACTGCACAGGGAACCTTTGGTGTTGAAGGAGCTGGTATTTAATTTTTGGTACACAAAGGACTTGTGTTGTATAACAAGCTACTACATAAACTATTTCATTTTTTATAAACTGTTTACAGGAAATCTAAGTTATTCTGTGCACATGGAGCCTCATAAGACATCTGTCAAACTTACTGACAGCTGAAACCTCGCTGGGCTTCGTTATTGCTTCTACAGTATATCCCATTAGGTTGCTGCTTCACTAGCAGCACTGCAGTTATGTAAGCAGTAGCCTTGACACTTGGATTCATCTAAAGGAAGCTTTCCCTATTAATGGCACCAAGGATAGAAAAGGATCATGCTGTGAGACGTTGGTTTTATAGTTTTTTTTGTCGTAATCAGCTACTGACTGTTGATGGAAACAGGTTTGGGGATTGAAGAGAGTAGGGAGATTGAACAGCTGTAAATTTGCAAACTGTGAAACCAAAGCAATCATTTAAAAGAGGAATAAAAGCTTGACAGACCTCCACAGTCGGGCCTGTGACTACTAGTGAGTGTACTTTTAACATTTAGCATATAGTTGAGAAGATGCTACACTACAACTACTTCAGCAGACCTTCTTCTTACATCCAAGTGAAGCACCCGCAGTTTATTCAAGCTGTATTTCATCATGTTGACAGCAATATGCACACTGGATAAATAAAATAACTGGTGTTTTGTTGACGGTGTATACCCTAACACACACCTGTTGGCATAAGCACAAATGTTGTCAATCAAGGGGCAGTTCTTCATCACGGCCTCCACCTTTCCCAGGGAGACATACTCTCCTGCCTGCAGCTTCACCAAGTCCTTCTTACGATCTGGAAACACAACAGAAGCAGCTGCTTGTAACAGCATGTGTATCTAGGTGAGGGCATGTGTGTGTATGTACAGATCTTTGAAAGAAGGGAAGAACTTCATATACAGAATCTGACTAGCGTCATCTAGATAAAAGAGAAAAGATCGGCACTCTGGCTACTAAAGTAAACAGGACTGTGGAGTAATTCTTGGTAGTGACCTAAAAGCTGACACAGTATGTTAAAATGTTTCCTGCCAAACTCATTTATGGAAATGGAATTGAGAGGTTGCCTGGAAGAAATCCAAAGGTGTGGGGCACAATGTTGATCATGCTGATGGATTTCCCCAGATGGTTCTCTGCACCCACTAAGGCACATATTTATGGTGTAATCTACGCATGGCCTTATTTCACAGTTTATCCATTCTACTTTCCTCACCAATTATCTTGAGGCATCCATCTTCATGAAACTCTCCGATGTCTCCTGTGCAGAACCACCGCTGGCCATTCTCATCTACAAAGAAGTCTTCTTGGTTTTTAGCCTCATTCTTGTAGTATCCCATGGTTACATTTGGTCCGCCAATCACAATCTCTCCTCGAGGGTGGGGCTTGTCTGTCTTACGATAACCACCTGAAAATAGGATTTAATATCAGGAGATGCAATGCAAATAAAAACAAACATTCAGTTCTCTTGATTCTGCAATGTAATATATTTTGTAGATAAAAACCCGACAGCATGTTTATTCTAAAGCTGAGCAAGCCATAAACTCAGCTTGATAACTTTATTATATCTTGATAGTTATTGAGTGTAATAAAAATGAGTTATAACCCCTTGGGTAACAACAGGGAAGTTGCCCAAGAGTGGAGAGAAAGGTGGTGTAATTTCCTTACAAGGTTATGAACCAGCTACAGTGAGATGTAATGAAATGCAGTCAGTCAGTTTCGCTCTGGAAATGTGGAAATGAATGATGGATGAAGTGGTAAACTCAGAAAAGTGTTTGTGTGTGCGCATTAGATGGCACATAAGTAAAAAAGGCGACAAGGACTGATGTATGTCTCTGTGTATCCATTTGACATTGGTGTTTCATCATGAATTGTGTGTGTTTGTGTGTGTAGGTCCACTCCCAGACTCACTCACCCTCCACCCAATCTTTGAGCTTTATCTCGCAGCAAACCAGCGGCCCCCCCACTCTCCCAGTGCTGTAATCCCACACTGGAACAGACAACACACATGCACACACACAATCAGGAAGCATGCTTCAAGCATCAAGGCATGACATTAGTTACCATAGCAACTTGACCTCACTTGCTCTCTCGCCATGGAAACACAGTCCCAAATGAATATCTGAAAACCAGTGTTTTGCGTACGGTGGAGCGTGCTGGGCAGTGGGACGCTCTGTTGGGTTTGTCTGCCTGGCAGGCATTTGACAAATACACTGGCATCGCCAAGGAAACACAGTCCCAAAGGAATATCTGAAAACCAGTGTTTTGCGTACGGTGGAGCGTGCTGGGCAGTGGGACGCTCTGTTGGGTTTGTCTGCCTGGCAGGCATTTGACAAATACACTGGCAGTAAAAGGTGACCAGCTGTACGTACAGTTTACCACAGCTTAATGGGACAGCCACCACCACCACCACCACCACTACAGACATCAGTGGCATTATTTTACACCTAAAAATGGTTTCCCTGTTGATGTAAGGAATGTCTGCTTTTTGGGAGGCTTTTATTTGTATTTATTTTACCAAACAGCATCTGCACAAATGTTCACATCCCCTTCTTTGGGAGTTTCACAACAGGCTAAAAACTTGATGCTAACTTGGTTCTCAGTGTACGGTGAGTTGTTACTAATGTTGATTTTTCAATAGATAACCCACTCTTTTCTTTGTGTACTACAACCCACGCACAATGTCTTATCTTGTTATTTCTCATCATCCATTTTCCCATCCCTGCTGTGTGCCTCTTCAAGCCCTCCCACTGTTTGTATTCCTGCTTGGAGGTTATAGAATTGTTCCCATAATTACTCAAATATTATGCAACCAATCCAGTTAATGAATCTTCATTTGGAGAAAATTACCGTTTTAATTTCATTCTAGTTAGATTTGTGCCCTCTCCAGCCATGCTAGTGGCTGTGAGACATTAACACTGCAGTGTGTGCTAACATGCTCACAACAATGCTAAAATGCTGAAATGGTATGTTTATATAGGTCTTCATCTAAATGTGTTAGCATGCTAACATTTGCTCAAGAACTGAGGCTGATGGGAATATCATTATGTTTGGATGGATTTGGTCATAAACCAAAATGATAAAAATTTAGTGATTCTGTCTCCAAAAAATATCGGTGAAAAACTGCAGACACTGCCTGGCAATCCAGTGTGCTGGTAGTTCACTGCGCTCTTATCTATAAAGAGAAGTTGTGGAGAGTTCAGTGTTAGTCACCACCAGAGACGTGGACATACAGATGACTGCGTTTCCAACAATCATCCAGAATTTGTGTTGTTATACTAGTAACTGTGGTTTGGAGTTGGAACTTAAAAAGAGATCAAGAAAACAGTTACATTTGAATGAGTAAAGCTGTACTGATTTAATAAACTGATCATGTACTGAAAACCACCTTTTCCTTATGTGTGTTTTGTGCCATATTTTTATGTACACTGTTTGCATTCTGTATGACAGTCAGATTGCTTACACTCGCTAATGGTTCCAGCTCCGCAGGTCTCTGTCAGGCCATATCCTTGACCCACTGGGCAGCAGAAGCACACATTCATGAAGCGCTGTGTGGCTGCAGAGAGTGGCGCGCCTCCTGATATAAAGACACGTGTCCGACCTCCCAGCAGAGTGCGAATTTTCCTGAACACCAGCCTGTAAGCAAGGAGGAGTTGGAGAATGGACAGGTATGTGCATATGAAGACTACAGGCTCTCCTATTGGTTTAGTAAATTCTGTAGCTTTTAAAAGCTCTTGAAGTCTCTCTCATAAAAATGTAACTGTATCAACTCTTTGCATACTTATCACACAGAGGTGTGCTATATCCTTTGGCGAGCCGCTCCAGCTTGTAGTTGTATGCCAGAATGAAGAGTGTTTGCTGGACATAGTTCATCTCCTCAACCTTGGTCATCACATTCTTATAAATACGATCCATGATCTCCTGGAATCAGGGTGGGGGACAAGGACGAGGGTGATAGAGAGAGAAATGGATGATATGCACTGAACCAAAATGGCTAAATGAAGGAAAACTGCAAAAACAGCAAGAGGTGGTTGGTAGGACTGATGCAGAAGAATCCAGTAGTAAAGATGAGAGTAAGAGGGATGATTCACAGATACGTAAACTGGAAATGCAGAGAAAGTGATAGCTGGCAAGATTTGATAATCAATGTTGGTCTGCAAATCCTGTTTCCACATGTACCTGCCCAGTGAAAGAATAGAAGTTTGCAAGATATCAGATACTGCACAGATCTGGCCCTTTTTTAACTGGATTTTTGAGGTTTTGCACAACCACTCAGTAACTTTGGCTATAGGCTATAACATATCTGTGACTTGACTTGGTTTCTTGAGTTCCAATAAAAAAGAGCTGCAGTGGAAAGAACTGAAACCCACAGATCAAGAGAACTTCATCCAAATCAGCAGACTGCTGAGCTTATAGTTAAATGGGGGAAAGGTCACTAACAAAGAACAATAAAAACCAGCTGGTCCCTGTGGGTGTGTATGTGTGTGTGTGTGTGTGTGTGTCTGTGTGCGTGTTTGAAGTTAAAGCAGTGAGAGAGGAAGTCGACGCAGGATTCAGGCAGCAGACGGTCATATCACAGCAAACAATTTTTGAGTCCGTGTGTGTCATGGGGATAACCACATGGGGCTTTCTCACGTTCTGTTTACAGCTGTGAATGATTCCAGACACTGAGGCCCTCTGCCCTTTACACTACGACCACTGGGAGATGGGGGTTGGAGAGTGGGGGTGCGGCTGTGCTCATGGTGTGAGAGAGGGAGAGAATACAGCGGCAAAGACCTGTTGTCTCAAACTAGCCTGTGTATGGTCTAGCTAACATGAGCAGTGGAATTATGATCAGTGTTGTAGTCAGTAAAAATTTATGCTAAGATTAAAGTGTCATCATGTCTAATGTCATGTTACTCACTTTTATGGGGGTTTGACATTTTACACTTAAGTTTTCACACTATCTATGGTTTTATCAGACTTCTGTGGCATTATACACTCACCGGTCATTTTATTAGGTACACCTTTACCGTGTACTGTAAACTATATGCACTTCAGTCCAACACTTCCGCCTTAACATCTGTTTTTATGAAACTCAAAATGTTTGTATTTTTTTGTGAAATTGTCATAAATATACAAGTTCAATTATTTTTATATTAATGAGCTCATAGTTAAAATCATATTAATTCAACACAGAGCTAAAATCACAGTCATGCTAAGTCACTAATGTTACCAAAACATGTTAGCTTTAGATGCTAACACATCCAGAAGGAAGAATGCCACATCTGATTCAAATATGAGTCCTTTGGCTGCTTTTAACACTCTCCATCACAAGAAGCCAAACAGATGTTCACCTTTGGATTTTGCCCTTTCTTTGTACCTCTCTGTGTGTAAAAGAACATGACCTCTTCAGTCTGGAAAACCACTGTTTTGGACTTTTAGTTGCTGAGAGCTCCTTTGTGGCTGGCTGTTTGAAATGACAGCTCGCGTTCCAAAAAAGCTTATTATAACCTCTGCTAGAAGGCTGGTGGGTAATGTCTGGACCAACCATCAAATGAGAGGGTGGAGAAACGGGAATAACAACAGAAGGGCTATATAGGCAGCAGAATCATGGAGGGAGCTGTGTAGCTGAAGCTGAGAGACACCACATCCTGTCCAATATTTACTTTATTTATTAGATAATGTGTAAAATCTTAGTTAATGCGCCTTTAGGTTAAAGTTAAAGCTGCTGGGAAATACTGGCAAACAAGATAGTGCCTGGATGAATGTGGCAAAGGTTGTAACTTTTTTAAACTTGACTCAGGAAGACTATTGTGCTGAAACATAATGACTCCCCTTACATAGTTTCATTCAGAACAGCCAAACAGAAAGAGTGGACTACTTCGCTTTTGTTATATCTCACTGACAGGTTGTCGATGTATTAGGGCTGTGTATTGGCAAGAATCTGGCAATATGATACATATGACGATACAGGGGTTACAATTCGATATACTGTATATTGAGATATTTCTGATTTAGTGAAAGTGGTTTTGTTTGCTGATGACACTACCATATGGGCATCGGGTGAAAACCTACACCAACTCTCTGGACGGGTTTCACAGGAACTTGAGAAGATAAAGAAATGGTGTGACAGTAATATAGTATCTCTGAATTTGGATAAAACTAAATTTATGGTATTTGGGAATCGTAGACTAGATAATGAACTTCAATTGAAAATTGGGGGAGCTAATATAGAACGAGTACATGAAATTAAATTTCTAGGTGTCATAGTTGATGACAAA